GGTAATAATTAAAAATGTTTAAATGATTTTTTAGATTTATATTAAATATATTTACTTTTTTAGAATCGAGGCACACTTATAGGAGAAATCGTAATTTGTCTACTACGAGACAAATACGAAATACAAGGCAAAGGCCTGCAAGGAAATAAAAATTTCAATTTTTTTTTTATCGTTCGTTTAATTTTGTGTTTTTTCGTATCGTTCATTTTTTCTTTTCGTATCGTATGTTTAATTTCGTTTTTCTTTTTCATTTTCCTATTTCATTTCATTTTTTCATTTTTCCGTTTCGTTTCATTTTCCTGTTTCATTTCGTTTTCCTAATTTCATTTTTTCATTTTGTTTCATTTTCTTAATTTCATTTTATATTTCTTTTCGTTTGTTTAATTTCGTTTTTTTCATTTCGTTTTATTTTCTTAATTTCGTTTTATAATTTCTTTTCATTTATTTAATTTCGTTTTTTCGTCTCGTCTCATTCACTTAATTTCATTTTATAGTTTCGTTTCAATTTCTTAATTTCATTTTTTCATCTCGTTTAGTTTTCTCTTTGTTTCATTTTTATTTTTTATTTTATTTTTATTTTATTTTAAAAAAATAAATTTTACTATGCTCGCTTTGTTATGATTGATTTTTTTCTTATAACAACCTATTGGAAGAATAAATTGGCAAATTTCTTAATACTTAATTATTTGGAAACTATGGTTTTGGGAAGAGAAAACTTTATAGGTTTTAGAAGTTGGTTACCGAAAGATAATAGCTCTTCCAACAAACCTCGTACAAATTCAGTTACTATACTCGAGGAAGCCAAGCTTTATAATGATTGCTTTGTAGACAATTCCATCTTATCTTTAACGAAATCAATCTGAGATGATGGTTTTGAGAGACTCCTGTTCTTCTGCTGATTTATCTTGATCGCTAATAGCTTTTATACCACGTGATTTTTTTAAATCTATCGAAATATCTTTTTGAGCATGATCCTCTATTTCATGAGGTGATTCTAAGGGAGTATATTCAGGGTCAGGTGCTACATTTTGGGTACCTGTTTCATGCTGAATTTTTTTCTGCCTAATATTATCACCAATGCTTTTCTTATGTGCATCATCCAAGAATTTATCTATATCTTTCTCCTCTGACGACTTCTCCTCAATAATGCTCGAGGATGAGAAATTGAAATTAGATGAATCTTTATTAAAAGAATTATTTCCCTTTAGGTCATTTAGTATCTGTCTCTGCTCTACCATCGTAACTCTATCTTTAAGCTCAGCAGTTTCCATCTTATTTTTCTCTAGCTCCTCGATTCTAGTCTTGAGCTCAACATTCTTAGCTTTGTATTTGGCAGTCTCTTCTATAACTCGCTTTAGAAGCTCACAATTCTTAGCCTCAAGCTCAGTGATGCATTGTTCTAATAATTCAAGCTCGGATGACATAATTGATAGTATTTTTATACACAACAGGAATTATTCAATGTTTATGTGACAAATGTAAAGACTCGCTTTATTAATACAAGATAAAAAAATAAATTCAAGTGCGGGACTTTGCCTGTGACACATTTTGAAGTTTCTATACGAATGACTGCGGACTATTATTATATATACTTATTTTTTCATGCGATAACTCTTTTCTAGCCTTTACTCAACATTAATTCCTTAATCCATTTCATATCTTTTTAAAATTGTGTAATGTCTCATCATAGATAAGCAGGTCCTATTTATTGGGTTTAATATTACGATGTTAGTGAATCATCTCGGCAATAATTTTTCTGAATATAAACTGCGCGTTGATAACGATAAATTCAAAGTGAAGATACTATGTATATCTGATATGAATGAGACAAGTGAACAGCGTATAGCAAACAATCAAGATCACATTGGGAGAAATCTTTATTAATAACCATTAATATATTTACATAATCTGTTATGCATGATATAGCGTGATAAAACACTTATATATTAATTCTCATCTTCCTCCAAAACCTGTACCTCAGGATGATTAGTTTTCATCCAATGCTTTGCTTTTTCCAATTGCTTCAAATCATTAAAATATAAGCACAAAGTGTTCCTATCTAAACGGTTGTACCAACAGAATATGTCTAAAGCCATATAACAACCCATTATCTCTTCAGTCCCCCAGCTCATATTACCATCAGTAACCTTAAGCCCATACTTTTTCCTAGTAAAGTCATGTCCGTAGCCATATGTAAAAGATTTATATAAATTGTCCAGAGGTCTGTAAATTGTGTTTGATTTAAGGTCATCAGATATACCTATGAAATGCAAAAATTTTTAAGTTCAGTACTTAAATGACTCATAGCTACAAAAACAACAATATTTCATACTAGATGTCCAGAACCATGTCTCGATCTTCCACCTATCCTTCAAGATTTGTCTTATTGTAGGTTCAAAGTCACCATCACCACTAATAAGCACTATTACACTGGGATCATAATATCTAATGGTATTCATCATGGCAACCGAAATTTCATTATCAACTTTCTTCTCAATATTATCAAAGTTCCGATCATGCACAGTTACATCATATCTCACCTTCCGAATACTATTCCATAGTGAATCATTGGGAGGTGGCCGTGAGCTAACAATAACGGGAGATGCACCTAGTTTACGTTCATCCTGTACAGTCATAAGAAGGCATCCATAGTCAATATGAAGATTTTTAAAGTAGGATGAATTTCTTCTGTGATCAAAATAATTCTCAAGCTCTCCAACAGTATATCTTGCCTCAATGAAAACATTGAAATTGTCAATGAAAATATATACAAGCCTAGTAGGTCTCCTAGTGCGTTCTACAAAGAAGGATGACAGTATAAAGCGAGCCAGAGAAAATATTACGCTCTATATTCTAAAACACTTACCAGTAGACATAGAATTGATTTCTTTGATGAAGTTTGCGATTTTAGAGCTGGTCCGTATTTTAATCCACAACTTCAAAGATCTTCTCGGGTTGCTTCGAGAAAGACATCACCAGTAAATTTATCCTTCTCGATTATATCAAATTCCTCCTATGCAAGATTTAATTCTTTTATCCCTCTCAAAAACTCAATAAGTTCCTTTGTGTTATATTTTCAGATTACATCAAGTTTTTCTTCCTTTGTTGAAGAAGTAAATTTTGATACAGACTTTTTAAATATATCACGAAAAATAGCAAAACCTGAGACTTTTAAAGGTATCCTAGACATGTGGTTAAACATTTCAAATGTTAAGAGAAATAGGCCTTAGCTGACTGGTTATGTAACCTAATTAGCGAATTTCATTTTACGCTTCGAATATCAACTGCGCAATTTTTTCAGGTGATCGATCTCACATGATTATTTTTGGCTAATTTGAAATTTACTAGCAAAGTGATAGACATATTTTCGGCTTTATTGCAAAATGTTATTGGTGTAAACTGGCGTATATGAGGACAAGAATTTTATTTGCGAAAAAAATTAGCGTTAGTATGAGAAATTTTGAAATTTTCTATCGCACAAGAGACATGCAGTGTGATCACTTATTTTGTCGCTGATCATCTTATCACATGAGATAACTATAGCATATATGTAAAATCAACGTGAATACTTTATTTAACAGAATCAATCATTGCTGGAAGTAGTAATTAATATATAAAAATAATATTACAATAACATCATATTAAGAACTATAATTTTCTTGGTCACTAGTATCAGCATCACCAGGTGAAAGCAACATATATGGATCAAAAAGAGGATTTTTTAAATTTTTTATTAGGCCTTTTTACAGGTATTGTTTTCTCATAATCAAGATTTGCCTGCTCTCTTACCTGCTCTCTAGAGTCCTTAATATATTCTGCAGATACACAAAATTCCCTTCTTTTGTGCATTTGATCTAAACCCACATGTTCAAAAAGATCATTATCATCCTTAAAGTCTTGACAGCACAAGAAGCAGTGATTTGGTACAACTAAATTTGGTCAATAGATATTAATGAATATAGCAAGATTATGGATAATAATTTTATATTAGTTTTGCACATATAGAAGACGTCTACCTTGAATTTCAAATGGATTTATATTATTAAACCGCTCTTTAACCAGGTATGATGAACCAACTTCAGAGTCTCCCAAAACATCTTTAACAGTTGTATTAGAGTCTATAAGTTGATCGATTTTGGGATCATTACAAGAGACTCGAACTGATCACAGTTTAATGCTTATAGTACTAAAAATATTATTTGAAAGGGAACCTTTTCGTAAATCTCTTCCTTAAGCTTAAAAATACTTTGCTCTTTATCAATAGAAACTTCGAAGAAGTTTTTTAAGTCCAATTTTTTAATGACACCATTGAGAGTAAGATTAGTCATTTTTTCAAACATTTGGAGACCTATTATTTCACAGAAGTATTTATAGAAAATAAATTTAATTTATTGCTAACTCCATTTGATTGAGATTGACTATAAATCACTACGTCTAATGATATAAGAAGAATGATTCTTCTTTTGATATGCTAATCTCTACGTAAGACATGAAAATGATGATAATGTCATAAGTAGTATAAAATTGGACTTTTTGGCACAAAAAGCCCGAATGGCTTCAGAAGGTCATCCTGGGTATTACAAATTTTATATATCGTATTTTACATATCAAATTCATAATGAAATATTACTTGAAAGCCTAAGATCACCAATTCACT